CATGTTTCAACACAACATTACAGATCAGCAACATCAATCAAGGTATAAAAACAGAAATACCCCTACGCTAACAGTCTGCTTCATACTTTATACCTTTCAAAAACTGTGGATGAATTTTCTTAATTGCCTTCCAATTGAACACCCATAAGAGGACCTTCTTCTGCCTCCCACTCCCTGCTACTGGAACCATACTTGGATACAATAACCTTCTCCATAGACTGTCCGGTTGGTCATTGAATCTCCACAATCACTTCCCTAACCAGGCAATGTTGACCTCTTTTACTGATCTGATCCCTAAACCCCCATTTTCCCTGGAACAACAAACTTTATTTTGACTACTCCTTCCACCCCCTCCATAAGAAGTCTCTCATCATTCTTTCTAACACAGCAGCCCTACTTGCCAGAACTGGGAAAGTAATAAATGGGAAGGGAAGACAAAACACTTCTAATTAGAGTGACTTTGCCCCCTTTTGATAAGTATTTGATCTTCCAAGAAGCCAATTTTCTAGCCACCTTTTCAATGATGGACTTCCAAATGGTATTGAATTTACAATTTTCACCCAAAGGCATACCCAAGTATTTTGTTGGGAGTTTACCAACTTTGCAACCCCAATCATCAGCCCACGCTTCCAAGTTTATAACTTCCCTGGCAGCCAGTATTTCACTCTTTAGAATATTAATATGCAAATCAGTGACCACCTCAAACCATCTTAAAATTGCCTTCACATTCCAAATTTGCTCCCAAGAAGCATCACAAAAAAAAGAGTGTCATCTGCAAATTGCAATAGAGCAATCTCCACATCCCCATTTTCTACTTGGAAACCTTCCACTAGCCCTCCCAGTTGGGCTCCCTCTACAAGCCTAGAGAGGGCTTTTGTCACAGAAATGAATAGAAGTGAGGAGAGGGGATCCCTTGTCTTAGACCCCTAGAACTCCAAAACAACCCAAAAGAACTCCCATTTACAAGCACTAAGAATGATGAGGAAGATGAGCACACTTTTATCCAATTTCTCCATTTCTTGCCGAAATTCATCCTCTTTAACATGTAGTCCAAGAACTTCCAATTCACATGGTCACAGGCTTTCTCCATATCCACTTTACACAGAAGACCTGCACAACCACTTCTTCTCCTTGAGTCTATTATTTCATTTGCAATGAGCACTCCATCCACAATCAATCTTCCTCCAACGAACGCACCTTGAGATTCAGCAATCAGACTTGATACTACTTTTGCATTCTACTTTCCAAAAGTTTTGCTAGTATCTTGTACAAGCTGCTCACTAGACTGATGGGCTAAAACCACTCAACTCCACTGCCCCTTTCTTTTTTGGAATTAAAGTGATAAACGTGTGGTGTAATTGTGTAAACTTCTTTCAAGAGCACCCCTTTCATGAAACTCCCTTAAGGCATTCATTACATCTTGCTTCACGATTCCCCAACATTTCTTATAGAATAAGAGTGTGAACCCATCAGCATCAGGGCCTTAATCCCCCTCTAAACCTTAGATCACTTCCCACACTTCTTCCTCAGAAAAGGATTTCTCCAGGTCTCTAGCTTGATCAGCCAAAAGGGATTCGAACTACAGGCCATCTAAAACAGGTCTAATCCTCCAATCTTCCTTATAAAGAATAAAGATTCTCATAGAACTTTGCAATGTCTTTTAATCTGCCCTTCCTCCTCAATTTCTACCCCTTGGACCTCAATCTTTTTTATTGTGTTCTCCCTTCTTCTAGCACTTGCCATTATATGGAAGGATTTGTGTTGTTGTCTCCGTCCTTCAACCACAAACACCTTGACCTCTGCCTCCATTTGATCTCTTCTTAATAAGCTAGTTTGTCGAACTCCCCTTTGGCCAAATCTTATTTTCTTTCCTCCCTACTTATGCTACCATTCTCCTCTGCCCTATCGATTTCCAAAGATCATATTCTTCCAGAGTCCAGACTAAGGTTCAAAGTTGTATCGTTCCGGGACCCCTCCGATACGCCCCTACAGTGGGTGTATCGGAGGTCTGACCGGTTCAGGGGGTAGAGGAGACCTAAACCAGCCCCCCTGAACCAATTGCGGAAAAAAAATTAAAACAAAACAGATCCAAAATGTGTATCAATTCGCCCGATACGCCCCTATCGGCGTATCGGGCGTATCGATATTTTGAACCTTGGTCCAGACCCATCTCTCCTTTGGCTAAGTTTGGGAAGAGTGCATATACAATATGTTCAGTGCAAAACCTTGTATACATACAGTATTTGTAAAACTTATATTTGCACTTTTCTTATTTGTATTTGCCTGTTCCCAAATTGAAGACTTTAGTTCAAGAATTCTTTCTCTATCAAGTTTGTAGGGGTTGAATTATTTTTTTCCCGTATGGGTTGAATTTTGGAGGTCCCAACTTCTTGAACTACAGGATCCTTGTTATACTCCAGTTACCTCTAAGGAGCAAGGGCAATGCCTGCTTCAGTACCAAACTGCTATCATTTGTTTCTTGAAGTTTTACAGAATCAGCCCATAAAACTATGTATCCAGCTTTTACTTCCCTCTTTTTCCTCCAAATAGTTCGTACTTTAAAAATGCTACAGCCAACATGTTATGCTATAAGGCATGCTCATATAGACCCTGAATAGAAATAAATAAGATATGCAACTTACTCCAAGCATGCAAAACATACCCACTCGTTTGGTAATTGGTAATCGGAAAAAGAATGTACGGTGTAAAAATATTTACAAAACATAATGCGGAAAAAAAAAACATGAAAGTATATCCCTTTGAAACCCAAATTCGTTGATCTAGATACAATTCAGTCGCTCATATACCAACAAGTTTATCATAAAACATAGATCTGTAAACCTAAAACTAAGCAAATCTATAAAGAAAATGAGGGGCCAATAAATGAATATTTATTTTCAATACTAATTAACAACAAGCTATAGAGAGACACAGTAAGGGAGTTCGAACTTCGAAGAGCACTCACTTCTTGAACATATTTGCCAATGCAGATAGAAACGAAGAGTTGTCGATTCCCGCGCTCGGTAATAATTAATTAATTAATTGACGAGTCGTAATGGTTTCCACACATGCGGGTTCGCTTCGAGATCGTTCAACTGGTTTCAGTGGAATTCTAGGCTTATTGCAACCTTGTTACAGGTCAGTGATCGAGCGCCTCAGGCTCAGGCTCAATATTTGAAAATAGAAAACGAAAGCGGAGCAACTCTTGACGCGTGATTCTTAAGCGACGAAAGTGAATTAATGATTTAATGTTAATTAATTAATAGGGAAAATCTTAAAGCATGGATGATACTTTCACAAATCAAAATCGTGGTATGATTTGCGGATGGTGGGCCGGGCCCAGTGGGGAAGGTGGTTGTTTCCAACATATCAACTAGTTGTTTCTTGTGTAGTGTCGCCCATGGGCTATGACCCACGGAACCGCAAACTCTACGGCTAAGCCAATGCGCCTCACGTGATCCATGGCACCGAACAGAACAGGATCAAATCCGGAATGTTTTTTGGGGAGTAGTATGAAATGACAAAAAGTATTAGAACGTATTTATTTGGGGTGTTTTTTATTTTTAAAATATATCAAATAAAAATACAAAAAAAAATGAAAAGTACAAATTCAATTTTTGATAATTTGTGATTTTTGACCCTCACATATTTTATTCTTACATACGCGATGATATTTATACATCCCACCATATGGTATATTATATATAAATGTCATATAAAAATATATGCACATTAATATATTCAATGACATGTGCCATGCCATATGACATGCATTAATATGTCATTGATACAACATTCTTATGCCACTTTGGCATCCAAAAATGATGTCACATGACATATATATGCCACTACATGACATCTGATTATAATTAATGACATGTATATGCCACATGGCATTCATCTATATTGCCACATTGCATCTATATATTCCACCATGTAACATTTATATGTCAATTACCCATATTCAAATGCGACATGGCATCCGTATATAATGTCATATAACATACACATATAAAACATTTTGTTGTATTCAAATGGCATCATTTATTTTTACTTTTAAAAACATGTTTTTGAAATAAAAGTACGAAACCAAAAATATACTATACGCTTTGTATTTTGGTGTTGTTAAAAGTACAAAGCACAAAATATTGTCAAACAGAACTGAAGGCTTTCTATGTTTTGGTAAGGGTGCAAGTTGGGTGGGCTGGGTTGGGTTTAATGTCAACCCAGGCTCAATCCTAACAATTGCGCCCATATATACTAAGGTCAAGCTTGATATGTTCAACACTTCAACCTGGCCCTCAACCCTTGGTCCATGTTAAAATTTGATGTATTCGGTTTGGCCAATCAATCCATAATAAAATTTGTATATATACATACATATATATAGACTAGGATTGTGCAAGATTGGGATAAATCGGTCCAGGGCTTGGGTTGGGCCCGCCCAAGTCGTTCCTCTATGATGGGCCTCATGTGATTCATGGCACAATTTTAACATCTTATAGGGTGTTCAACATAGCCATGCTATCACTCGCATGCAGGGGATACAAGTAGGAAAGTTAAATTCATGATTTAAAATTAGAAGCCCAAAACAATTCAGGACCTAAACATATAGGGTGTTCAATAACATAATTGGTTATGTTTTTGAAAACAAAAACAACTCATGCATTAGCAAAATTGTATTGTTTTTAATGATGTGATAGTTATTTTTGTTTTTCTTTTTTCATAATAAAGTGAAATGTGTAGTTTTATTTTCATAAACAAAACCAACGATGTTGTTGAATACCCCTTGGCTCTCTTTTTCCTTCATTTGTTGATGGTAAAAATAGCCAACAAATGCAAGATGCAAGAAAGGAAATCATTTCCAAATAATATTCTTTTTCCTTATTGTTTTCTCTTTTTCATCACTTTTTAATAGGCAACCAAAGGGAACCTGGGATCTAATGCAATCATCTAATCTTATCTCTAATTTGAATAATTTATGATTCAATTACCTTTTTAAATATTTTTCACCCAAAAAAATAGTTTTTAAAATATAATATTGAAATCCTCTTGGTTGAACTAATAGACCCTGATATATTTTTTACCAGGTTCAATATTCATATGAAATGGTAGAGGTTTCTTTGATATATATGAATTTAATGTTCTCTTAAACCTCCCCAGAGGTTTGTCCTAAATAATGAGAACCCCCCCTCCCCTTCACTTTTCAAATTGGACTAAAACCTCCTCTTTTAAAATTATATCTAACAAAATCATCAAAAAATCTATTTTACCTTGGTTATTTCTTCAAATTTTCAAAATAGTGGAATCCAATAGCATAATTGTTGACTCCTTTGAGACTTGATTGTCCGAAACTAAAGAGCTTGTCAACATGTTTGTTCATAGTGTTACCACGTCTCTCTACTATGAACCCAAGCATGTCACCAGTGGTTGTGAATCTTGTGATATTAAGATGTGTTTGGTTTCAAGGAAAAAGTTGGGAAATGAAAGGAAAGGTAAAGAAACCTTTACAAACTTTGTATGGATTTGTTTCTCTATCTTTCCCTTCCTTTCCCTATCTTTTCCTTCAAACCAAACATAGCCTTAATGACAACCAGCCCTCTCGAAATTGTCGTCTTGGAAACAATGAGGAGAGGTTGCAATGGCGTAGTATGTATTTGGTACTTTGGTTTGTTTGGTATCGCTTTTCTTTTTTAATACAATTGAATTGAAAAAGAGAATCCTAACGGAGCATAGTATGCCTCATGTTTGGTATTGAATATTGATAATTTGCTATCATGAGTAATCTTCTATCTTTATCTTAAGGGAAATGGTATATGGGTGTATGGGGCGGGGCTAATCAAGGCTCTCCTTGTGCCCCTTATAGGTATGTAAGATCTTAGGTTGAGCTAGAGGTGTAAAGTGGGCTGTGCTAGACTGGGATGACACGGTCCGTGTAAAGTGTGGGTTGTGCCATGTTGGCCCGTGGGTCGTCACTGATCGTGCCACCCTTCTTGGTGAAAATTTTGGGGGTCAGCCTAGGCCCATGCCTGGTCCGTGGGCCAAGCCTTGGCCCAAGTCAGGCCATGGACTGGGCCAAAGCTATTTTTGCTTATTTATTTAAAAAAGTTAAAAAAAAACTTAAAATTTTAATTTTATATAAATTTTGATATATACAATAACTAAATAAATTAGTATAATAAAATTGAAAACAATTGTTTATTTTATTAATATATTATATACTATATATTATTATATAATTATAATTTACATAATATATAATATTATATATATAAATGTATAAAACATATAAATATTATGTATATATAAATATAATATATATATATATAAATAGTATATAAAGGACGTGTTGGCCCGTGGACTTCAAACCCCAGGCCCAACACGGCACGAACCATTGTGTTAGGCCTGGCATGGCCCGTGGGCTGTCATGCCATGTTGGGCCGCGGGAGGCACGGCCCAATTTACACTTCTGGTTAAGCCATTGATTTAAATGAGAGGGGCAATTTAAGGGAGGTTTAAGTCTTTTACCCTAATTTTTATATTATAAGACATTCATGCCATAAAACAAAACAAGAATTTAAAGAAATGCATTCTTCTTTGCGTGTGAAATGGTACTTGTTAATTTTAGCTAGGGGGTGCAATTGAGTCGAACTCTAATAAAATAATTTGGGCTCGAGTTCAATTCTAATCGAGTTTGAATATCAAGGCAAGCTTGATATAAGGAGAGTTTGGGGGATATTTTGTTAATTTAACCCATTTTGTCATCTGACTTAACGATTAGGGGTATTTGTTAGAAAGTGAAAGTTTAAATGTGTCTTTGTTGCAATGAAAGTTCAAAAGAGTAATTGTCATTGACCAAATAGTACAAGGGGATTTTTATATTTACCAAAAAATAAAAGGTAAATTGTTGAAACCTCCCGTGAAGTTCCTTACAATTTTTAAAGCCTCTCCTACTTTTTGCTAAATAGAAAACACCTCCCTTGAAGTTTATGACACCATTGCTAGTTCACCCCCTCCGTTAGAATCCACTAACGATAGAGATAGAATGACCAAAATACCCATATATTGACTTTTGATCAACATTTTTGTTTTCTAATATTGCCACATGTCTCATTTCACTATAAAGAAACTCACATGTGCAAAACATCTCTCCCTCTCCTCTTTTTTTATCTTGATAATCTCCCTCTCCCCCCTAACTATTTCTCCCCTATTTTGCAATCCGGCCAACACAACACTATTGCCCTCATTTTCCTCTCTCTCCATACTTCTCTTTTCCTTCTTCCCCTTATCTTCATCTTTTCGGTTTTTCTGTGCCCCCCACTTCTGCAACCCAACCAAGTCAAGTTCAAATCTCGGGTTTCCTTAATCTCCCTTTATCACCGAATGACTATTTCATTAACAACGAGGCCCATGTTCGCTTTTGGAAGTTATTTACCTGGGAAAATGTTTATTTTCCAGGTAAATAAGACAATGAACGTTGTAGCCTTAAAAAATCATTATTAAAAAGGGGCAATTTTGCCTCATCCAAGTGTTCTAAGGAAACACTTAACTGAGTAAGTGTGCTCATCCATGTTCTTTATTTTTCAAGTAAACAAGATAATAACTATTTTAACCATAAAAAAAGTCATTATTAAAAAGGGACAATTTTGTCTCGTCCACGTGTTAGCACTTTTCCCCTAGGTGGGAAAGTTACTTACCCACCTAAGAGATGGGTATTACTTACCCGAATAAGTAATACACAAGTAAAATAAATTTCCTATGGACCCCACATAAATTTGCAAAAAGAACATGGGTATCTTGGTCAATGAGAATCAAAATCCCATTTGGCTAGACCATTGCACTTCCTGCAACCGACCGCCCCTTCTTCAATAACTGGATCTCGTCCAAACATCATCGTCTACACTTATCTACCTAGCCCACCTTGCTACCTCCATCAACCATACTAGACCAGAACTTCCTAAAGCCACAACAACCCCATTGAACAGCCACTTATCTCACTTACCACATCGAAACCACCTCCATTCTTGTTGGAAATTCCCAAATGGTCTAAAACCCGATCCTTTCCTCTTTCATTTTTATACTCTTTTTGATTTGCCCACATTGCAATGAAAGGGATCTCTGTATTACCAGTATAACAAGTATTAAAAGAGATGAAAGGAAACAAAAAGATGAAATTTATACTATATATAAAGTGTGTATGCAGTTTGAAATTTTTTTA